TCGGCTCGGCTCGGCCCAGTCTGCTCTGCTCTTCACCCATTCTCCCTAGCTCTCCGTCTCCAGTGGGAAGATTTAACTGAATGTCTTTTGAATGTTAAATCTGAAACGAGAAAGTGAAAAGCTTCAGCAGCAGCAGACTTGGTTTCCTAACTGCACTCTCTTTGTGGATGTTACTTAAAACCAACACCATGAACACACACACACACGCACACACACATTTAGAAGATGCATCCAGGAAGAGGCAGAGAAAGGAAGGAAGAGCCAAACAGGCCTTCCTTCAATGAGATTACTAGCACTAAAACAGTCTAATCTCGGTCATTAAGAAAAGATGCCGCAGCAGGTTAAGTCATATTATTGGCTTATTGTAGACGGTGTGCGCCGTGTTCACCTGCTCGTGTAGAACACCTTCACAGGAGAAACACGAGACAACCACTGTGCACAGGAATCATTGCTGTACCTCCAGTGTCACAACAGGGAGGCCAGTTCTACTTTTTCAAAGCAAAAATAGACACGTCAGCTGTTTTTCGATCCTCCATGTTGTTTTGGTGAAAGCTTTAATCAAATAAAGTAAAAAAAAAAAGAGTGTTTCATGCAAAGTTCAGTGTGAAGCCCTTTTAAAAACACGTTTTTATGTTGCTGCACATTCTACGAAGCTTGGAATGTTACACATTTGCGCACGTCCACTCTCTTGAGTTTATAAACTAATCTGCTCTCAGCTAACGTCTCGTTTGTGAGCGTGGACTTTGGACGCTGCTCTCGCAGGTCCTTGTGTTGCTCGTTGCTCGGTGAGGCTGCAGCGAAGACGTGTAATCTGAGGACGCGACCGTTTGCATCTTTATGAGTATGCGCGTGTGCAAACGTGCATGCAGGTAAACACAAATTAGGTGTTTTGTTTTGGCCGCACACCCTCCTTGTTCTTTTGCATTGCACACACACTCTTGCTGAAGCAATTGTGCCATTATGTAACTCTTTTACATCTCAGCCTGTTTCATTATCTCACTCGTGCTCTGCTTTCTGTTCGCCTGCTCCTTGAATTTGTCACTTTTTTTATAATCTGGTCAAAACGGCTAATAAGATCAGATTTGCTTACTTCATATAGTCACATTTTACTTTCTTTGCACATGATAAATAAAACCATTAGTCACTGAGCTGAGTGTTTTGATTTTGTATTAAATGAGCTCGGCTTGGAGGCTCTAACCTGAAGTTTACTGTTGTCTGACATTAAAGTAACTAGCTGCACTTTATATTTCAGCCTACAACTTTAAATTGATCACAATAATGTGATACATCTTTCTTTTTCTTTATGTTTTCCACAAATACCTCTCCAATATATTTTTGTCTTGCTGGTCATTGTTCTTAGCTCAGATCACCGCCATACGCCCCTTGCTTTTTTTTTTTTTTTTTTACTTCAGTCTCAATCAGACAAAAAAAGGTGAATATTCAGTATTATGAGTCAAATGAGACGTGCTGCCTTTATATTTGAATAAACCTCCTGAAACAGAAGGAGCTATCAGACGTCTCTCATGCTTCAAGGGAGATTTGGAGTTTAGCAGCGGTTCAGGCTCAAATTCCTCCCGGTGAAAAAGAAGTGGAGACTTAAACCGAAGCACGCTTTGTTCATATTAAGACTTGGAAAAAGACAAAACTGAAACTAAAAAAAAAAAAGAAAAGCAGTTTGCTCAGACTAGACACCCTGATGGGGATAAATCCAACATACGGCTGCACGCTGAGCCCATGCTAAACAAACAGGAGCTGTGATAGCGACTCAGCTGGACCGTCCAGGCCACACGCAGCGTGCACCTAACGGGCGCCTTGGAAAAGGTCAGGCAGACGCTCCTAACTGTAGGCGTCTGGAGACGGGTGTGGAGGCGGTGGGAAGTGAGTCCTGACTGTGAAGTTGTGCAAGTTTCGTCCTCAGTCAGTAAATGGAGTTGAGGATTAACATTGTAGCCTGCATGGGCTTGGGGTAATCTCTCCTCTCTTCTTACATAACACCGAGCCATTAGTCAGCACAAAAAACAACAACAATAAACGAGACAAACAACAGTCCTGGGCTGGAAAACTGACCACAAGCACAGCGGCGCTCAGGCCAGGTGCCCACTGTTGTGTGCAATAACTGAATTGATGGCAACAATGAAAAGCGATGATTTGCTTAAAATAACAACTCGATAATCCGTTTGGACCGATGAAGCTGAGTGGACTGGCTTATTAATAACTATTAGTGCTTCAGTTCAGGTTTCATGAGCTATTGTGCGCAAATATGGACAAAATGCTTCAAACTTTGTGTTGCTTACATAAACCAAAACGTGCTGAAACTTAAGTTTTATTTTTCTGCTAAAATTTAATGTTCATCAGTAAATTCAGCCTAAAGTTGTCCAAGTCCCGTTCCATAGATTTATCAGAACAGACCGCTTCCGTTGGCGTTGACTAAAAATTGATCCCGGGACGCGTTTGAGCCGGTCAAATCGATGCTCACACAAGCCGCCAAAGCAGAGCAGGATGGGCCTAATTCTATTGGCATGAGGCCGTCAAGCGTAGTTTAGCAGCTTTTTGTGTCTGCGTGTGTTTCAGAGCTCGCTGCTTTTGCATACGAGCTCAGAGACGGCTCCCAGGTTAATATAAATATCGTGAGGGAATGGACTTTTCTTACTTTGAAAGTGCTGGTCATCCCTCTGTGACTACTTCCCTGTTGGTTCAATCGTATGCTGAGAAACTGTGATTGACACATGTCACTTTTAGAGATCAAACTGCCAGCACGTCTCCTCTCTTCTTCTTCTTCGCTGCCTCGATCATTGAACAGTTTCACCTGTCTGACCCCGGCAGAGTTGAAAAGCTCTTTTAGGCTTACAACGCTAACACTCTCTCTTTCACACACACACACACAGACACACACACACACACACACACACACACACAGGCATCACTCAGAAAAAAAAAAGTAGTGACACATAAAATAAGTCAGCAGTGAATCCGTGTTCATCCAGTAAACGAACACTGTGTGTGTTTTTTAGTCTTTAGCAGAAAAATCTGTTTACGCCTCGAGCTCATATTGATTATAACAGATTAAAACATTTGATGTACAGATTAAATAGATCAAATTAATCTGGAAATATTGTCCTTTTTTAATCGCATGGCTTGAGATTGGAGTAAAAATATCTCACCGTGGTAGTAAAATTGACGTAAGCTGTTAATTATATACAATTACAGCTCTTCTAAATATTGGCGCACGTGAAAGTAGACAGCTACTGGATCACGTTGCACTTTAAATTCAGCGATAACAATCCAATTTAAAAATGATTCTGAATCGTCTCGAAAACATGTACGATACTTGTGTTTGTCTGAGGTGGTGACAAAGTCCTTATTACTGTGCGAGTTGTTTTTGCGGGCGATGCGGTGACATCATCTCGGGTCAGGGCTTCAGGAGTTGTAGCTTTTGTAAAATGTTAATTACCACGGCTCATGAGAGGCCTCCATTTTTTATAACCTTGGTTGTGAGCACATTTCTGTGTAAGGGCAGCCGAGACTACGCACACACAGGTTGGGAGAGGGGGCCGCAGCCCACACTGATTTAATTCTATCTGACAAAACCCTTTGGGGCGTGAGGAAGATGGAGAGAGAGAGAGAGAGAGAGGGAGTGGGAGAAAGAGGGAGAGACAGGCTGAAAGAGGGGTGAGGGAGACGCTTCGGGGGCCTCTTCTTCCATCCATGGCTATAAAGTAAAAGCTTTTGGTATCCCCCCCCCTCAAAGAAAAAAAAACCAGAAAGGCCTCCCGTGCACGAGAGTGGACGCATGACCCATTAGAACGCAGATAAAATACAAGGTGGATGACAGAGGAGTTTGTCATGGGATTACAGGAGGAGGAGGAGAGATGTGAGGAGGGGGGGTCGGCCTTCTCAGGGTTTTACATGCCCAAGGTTTGATGGCCCGAAGCTGAAGCAGCAAATAGTTTCATATATGATGGATGGAGAGAGATTTAAACTTTTATCTACAGCTGAATGTTGTTAGTTTTTTTTATTTCTCCTGTTTCATGTAAATATTGTTCCTATCGATCTGTTTTTACGTGCTGCTCTTCGTTCAGCTGCTCCCTTCTTCAGGGGGTCACCACGATTCTTACACAAGATTTACCAGCAGTTTTACACTGGACGCCCTTCCTGACAAAACCTGGGCTCAAACCTGCGGCCTCAGGATTACGGGACCACGCCACCGACCACCAAGCTACCACAGCCATAAATTATTTATTTATTTATTTATTCTTGCGTATATTGACAATATTCATCCTCTGGCCAATAACTGATCAATTACGCACCTTTTCAACAAAAAAAGTCACTATATTGTCATAAAGTGTTTGAGTAAATAATTAAAATGTTCTTTTCACATCACACAAACATGCTGACCCTTTAGGACTCACATGCATGTGAAGTTTTAACATTCGGACCAGAAGGAATTCTCTAAATTAAACTTTTTTTAACATCTTTTACTAAACAATTTAAACCTAAAAGAAAAAAGACTTTAAGTCTGAATTTGAAGCATCAAGCTGCTGAGCAACTTTTAACTTTGCATCAAACAAATATTAGAAAACAACTAGAAGAAAAAAAATCCAGAGAAGGTTTAAATACAGAGAAACACCTAATTTACTTCTGCGTGTCGGTGCATCTGAGAGCGCGCGCACAACACGCTGACACTGGAGCTGGACGTCCATCCACACTGCGCGTGGAGGAGACGCACCCAAGCTGACCACAGCTCTGACCCGGGATAAAACGCACGGTGAGCACATAATCTCAGATTGAGATGTGGAGTCGTCCGCCACTTTTTAATCTGTGACCACGGACCTCGCGTGGGGTTCGTTTAAACCCGAGTCCACGCAAACAGAAATCAACTTTTCTTCCCTGCTGCGAGGCAGAGACGGTGCAATCAGCCGTGACAGGTGTCACAAAGTGACGACATGGAGACGGGACTCAACTTGAGCCTGACGGAGGTGACGCGCGTGCAGGAGTCTTACCTCGCATCGTGTGGCTGGAGCTGGTGCGGAGGCTCGCTTCCCAACGCAGCAGTCATGAAGAAATACAAATAAACGCTTTAGAGAGGGGGTGGAGGGGCTGCTGGTCCTCGTTTTAACAACAACAACAAGGATGGAGAGAGCGAGGATGGCGTGAATCCACCGGCGGCCCTGAGTGGGAGCGCGTGTGCGCTAAAAGCATCCCAGAGCGGGGCGCGTGCAGGCGGGCTGGGCTCGGTCGGACTGCGCTGGTCGAGCGGCGGCTCTCCTCATGACATCTGCGCTCTCACTCCGCGGGAGGTTTCACTGCTGCCTGTCTGCGGGCTGGGGGGGGGGGGGGGGG